GAAGGGTTTGTGGAAGTAATTCTCGGATCAGATTCTTATGTGTAGCGATAATCTATCATGCTTGTGGGAAACGTTTGTAACGACAGTGGTTTGTGAAAAGTGAAGGGTTTGTAAAAGTAATTCTCGGATCAGATTCTTGTGTGTAGTGATCTTCGATCAGTCTTGTGGGAAACGTGTGTTATTTCTCAGGAACGCCAGAACCTTAAAACCTGATAACGGTAACGTTAACATTAAAATAGTGATCACTGTGATTTTACGTATATTCAGCTACTTATATACACATGATGTTCTTGAACAGTTAAGTACCGTAGAGCAGATATGTGGTGATGTATATCAGTGAAACATCTATTTTCTAAATCCTAATATAATCGCAGAATGCTGTCTGTTGTGATGACATGCCTACCCGAGTGACTTGTTATACCCAGAGGTTATTTGAATATCTCAACGACTGACCCGACAAGGTTGACATTTTCATCAGTGAAAAACATATTGTCACTGTTTCTGCAAAACACTTTTCACACTAATGAGTGATCGAATTCTTTTAATTTTGCAAATACTAAATGTGTTGACATGACTCAAAGATCAACGGTCCAGGTTTTGAGAGAATATGATAAGATTTGTTGAGTATTGTTGAAGGAGTGATGGTATACCTGTACACTGAGGTGTTTCCATGGCACAGACAGGATGATTATGTTGCAACTCTGACATGTTTATGTTAAATACCTAATTTGTTTGATTAATTCCATTCCTTTATTTGCAAGAACAACATATTCATTCAAAATGACGTATTACCTATAGAAACAAATATATAAATATTATATTATATATATTATATAAAGGACATGTACATGTATTTCAGCCGCACCTCCTCAGCAGTGAATGGCCAGGTGATGAAAGCACTCTGTCTCTAACTCATTTTCAGAAAGGTCGGATCTTTATTGCACTGATTCTCGCGCAGCTCTAAAACACAATTTGCTAGTTAATCACAACTATGCATCACTTTGGCATATCTTCTAAGTTAAGACTGACCAATACTACTGTTATAGTATCAATAACAATACGATTTCCATGGCACTGTGTGCGCAGAGAAGCTGTAGACAGACACACAAATGGTCATAATCCTTTGACGGAGGAGGAACAACGTTTACGAAGCCGACATGGTTTTACTTGTCTCTCCTTATGACCATGGTAGTAACATGTTTATCAAACACAATCCTCCAAGTATTTCTGGCACATGTATGCATCAAAACAGGTATCCAGTTCAAAACAGTGTGTAAATCCATAGTCTCTCTTGCTATGACGGGGCGGTCGGGTAGCCTAGTGGTTAAAGCGTTCGCTCGTCACGCCGAAGACCCGGGTTCGATTCCCGACATGGGTACAATGTGTGAAGCCCATTTCTGGTGTCACCCGCCGTGATATTGCCTGAATATTGCTAAAAGCGGCGTAAAACCATAACTCACTCACTCACTCACTCACTCTTGCTATGACACTACTGAATATTACGGGAATTGAAGTCTAGAAAAGAAATGTGTTTTTCTCCTGTTCACAGAGATTGAAAGTTAACGTCTTCAATCAGTGCCTCCCCATCCCCAGCCCAACCCCACCCCACCCCAACCCCACCCACCTTCAACCCAGCCCTCCACCCAAACACACCGCCTCTCTTCCTGTATGTGCAAACTACATCTTTGCTATAGCTTCAAGTTATAGCTTTTCCATTGAATCCAATCATTATTCAAATCGATGTGATTTACTCCAGCTTTTTCAACAGTCGTACAATGGCCTCCACGTCAACATCACACACATGTACAGAGTCCATCAGGACATCCATGAGAACCCTGACCGTGGCCTGTGTCCCGACTGTCTGCCTCCAGGTGTAAAGCATGTGGAACACCTGCATGTGGTGCGAGGAGTGAGACATCTTACATCTTTCTATGAACACCTTGGGTAGGTCCAGCCGGATGCCCACTGCTTCATATCCCTCGCCAATATGCTCGGCTACACGTTCTATAAGCTGCTCTGAGAGACAGGGGATCTGAACAGCATCCGGCAGAGAACAAATGGACCCAACATCGCGGGATAATGGCTGCCAACATAGAGATAAAATCATCTTAATAATTTGAATTGTTTTCTTCTAAATAACTACCCCATCAGGATTAATGTAACATGACGATGATTCATTTCTCAATTAAAGCAACACCGTTTATAAGTTCATGTAAAAACAATAGTATAATGATCAAGAGCCATCGAACAAAATAGTCTAAATGGATTCTTCTGCCAGGCGTTATAAGGTACATTTTGAAATGTTTATAAACAAAAACAAACGCAGGTGATGTGAAATGGGGTTTAACGTCGCGTTCAAGTTAATTGCACTTATATTGCGACGTGCATCCACCTGTACGTGTGTGTATTTTGTGTGTGTGTATGTTTATGTGTGTGTGTATGTGTGCGTGCCTGCGTGCGTGCGTGCGTGCGTGCGTGCTTGTACCGGTCCAGATTTCTGCTGGCTTCTTCTGCTAGCTCACTCAGACACAGTATACCGAGTCCTAGCCAACCAGTCTTCGGTTTATCCTCTCAATGCCGAGCACCAGGCACGGTAAAAACAAGTAACATCTTTTTGCGTCTTTTGGTATGACGCAGTTTGAGATCTTCCTGTCTCCGGGAGGACGTTCTAGCCAAATGCAAATATTCGCGCTCACATCGATATTGGTGTTGTGAAGCTAAGTGTTTGTATACAATGGTTCGAACCATGTCATAATAACATAACAAATACATAATAATGTAAGGGCCCTACCTGATATTCAAGATGTCCACAGCAGCAGAAAAACTTTCGAAGAAAAAAAGAACACCTTCCCTTAATACCCCTCTGTTTGAACACTCTCCTACGGAACATGATCAATCAGATCTACTCCTAAAGGAATATAACATCTGCGCTCAATGACAGTTCAATGTGCTATGTATGTCCTATTCATTCAATAAAAGTCCAATACCTTGGTTACGTCACAGGTCACAATTCTCGGATTTTCTTTAAATAGTTGTGACGTGTTACTATATATAGATACGTCGTCCATATCCTCTGTCTGATCAGGAAATAGTGTCCAGTCCAGCCTCTTTGGCATGAAGCTTTGTGTCAAAACTGACAGCCACTTAAAATCAATGATTAAAAAGCGTTTGTTCATTTAAATGTAAATCTCCTTGCTTTTACCGTTAACATCACACCTCACGAGAACTTGGATGTCAACAATTCAGTGTGATATCATTTTATGTCAAACATGTACGCGGCTTTAATGTGTATAATGATAAGACACTACTTTCACAGGTTCAACGTTACATGCACAAGCACATATGGGTCTGATCTATTTTCTAACTACATGTGGGAAATACTTCCGGGTTGAGCTATCCTGTCCCGCCTGTCCCGGAGACCGCAACTGTGTGAAGGAATTAATAAGTTACACTCCTAAAATCAGTTTATAAGTAAATGTGTACAGTTTTAGTTTTTTAAGAACATTCCAATGTCCCATGTATCATTAAGTATATTAATCCTTTAACTAATCATGACTGGTTAAATTGCAAGTAACCCTTTGTTCATTATAAGTTTATGTAAACTGGGATGTCGACAGTCATATCATGTGTACTGGTGTACTGTCAAACTTGTATGTGGCCCACTTTAATGAAGATAGGACCACTGCATACTTCTTTTTAACGAACATGCATATTTTGTAAATGCAAATGTTCGAAGGTATTGAAATTCGCTATTCGAGGGGTGTGTCTCTTCACTGCCAAGACTGTAATGCGTGATAACGAGTACCATATTCACATCGATTTATAAAATAGCTGAATTGGAAATGTTATTTGCATGCTCATGTATTTAAGCAAGTTGTTAAGTTACATAACATGCACTTTGTTACATAAAAGAGAAATATTACTTAGTTGCAGCATCAACTCATTATGATATTGCGTATGCCAATCAAAATGCACTTTGAATTAATAATTTCTCAGTAGCTGCCAAGATTACGTAGGATACTTAAATTATAAATTGTAAATTTATGCTAATTAGTACCATTAAATTATGTCTATTACGTTGAACAAATTCAAATAACGTATATAGATATATATGTATTTATATTCTGAATGTGTTACATATTTATTAGACCCGTAAAGATCCGGGTTAGAATTGGTCTTCAGCAATCCATGCTTGTCGTCAGAGGTAACTAGCGGGATCGGGGGTCAGGCTCGCTGAATTGGTTGATGCAAGTATCCTAATTGCGTAGATGCTCATGACGTCAGTCACAGGATTGTCTGGTCCAGACTCGATTATTTACAGACGCCGTCAAATAGCCGGAATATTGTTGAGTACGGCGTTTACCAACAAACAAAGAAGACATATTTCTTATATGTATATTTGGGCGGCTTCGTAGCATCGTGTTTAAAACTGTCTTTCTTCATGCTGAAGGCAGTGGTTCGATTCCCAATATAGGTACAAAATATGAGTCCCTTTCTTGGTGTGCAATAGGCTGGAGTAGTGCATAATCTAGTGTAAAAGCTTTACACTGTAATGTACATTATTACAAATGTAATATGCATGTGTGTTACCTTCAAGTTACCTTTATTGATACGGACAATCAGAGCCTGGGACAGAAACACCAAAATATGTTTGCTCTACAATATTGACATTTATGTCAGGCAGCGAAGTTCAGAGGACCCAGTATACCTATGCATGTTTAGTTGTCAGTCAGTGGACTTGTTCAGAGAGGAAATGTTCAAAATAAAAGACAGTTACATGTTTTGCAGACGATAATAATGTTCATCCTAAAACACTCAAATGAATATGACAGAAAGACATTTTATTTGGTGTTATAATTGTAAAATGTCTTTCGTTTGAACGAATTTTTCCTTGAACTTAGACGTCCGTATTAACAGAAATTCCTTATTTTGTAAAGGTGGTAGAAAAACACAAAGTTAAAAATCAATTTTAATTTATATCAATTGTTACAAAAGATCACTAATGGTAAAAACCACAAGATCATATACCATGAATCCTGAGTTAAGAATGCCTAAGTCAAAACAATCAGCTGTATAAAATGAACAGAACATATAATAATCATAACCAGAAACAGCAACAGGGAGTTCTAAATATATTATTGACCTCATAACTTAATGTCTGTCACACAGAAGATGATCACAATGGTAATCCCCAACATAATGAACCTCCATAATGTATGTTTGTTTTATGATCCAAGTTCGTGTCATATGCAAATATAAAACCTAAATGCAAGAAAATATGATTCCGTTTGGAGTAAGGGGCGAAATAGCTGTGAATGTTATTTGAATGGACAATCATGATCAGTGATGATACAAGGTGTTCGCGAAAAGGGAAAGCATGTCCCAACATTCACTCAAGTTTTATACAAATAAATAAATTATTGCCTGACGCCGCACAGCAGTACTCCTGCCATGCGACGGCGACCTGTATAATTAACAAAACAGCCAATCAATTGATAGATGGACCTAAACTCCGGAGACACGATAATGCATTTACTAATTTTGTTGAGACAATCGATGGTCTTGAACAGATGATATCATCGATCTGCAGCGACTACCAGTGATTGATTTATAGAAACATCAAGTAGTTTGTTGTAAACACTGGACTACAGCAAACATGTCTACTGTACAGGTATACACACTCTCCTGTAGCACGTTCACCAGCACGTCCACTGTAGCCTTCCCACCCTCCTTCATCCTCCACTTGTCCAGCATACAGCGAGGCAGCTTACACCTCTGTACACAAGCATAGGACAGTCCCAGTCGGAGTCCAACCGCCTCCCAACCCCCACCCAGGCACTCCGACACCAGCAGCACAACCCTCTCTGTCACAGGAGCCATCCGTTGTTCTGCAGTCAGATGACTGGCCCAGTCCTCCCTCAAACGCTTTTCCTGAAACAATGACATACTCGTGTTGACACGAGCCGATGCACTTTGGTGTAAATGTAAGTGTAATGGCATATACTAGTACAACCGCATGCTGCCAGAGAGACAATGTACATCATATACTTTTTCTTATATAATATGAATATCACATCTTTTACCCATACAAAATCTTAAGGAGTTAAATCTTGGTCTACTTTATTTTACATTTTTCAGATTGTTAAAAGAATGACTTTGTTTTGTTATTCCTCTGAAAGTTGTCGATTCTCATATCATATATGTTCACAATAATGGCATGTTTAGGGATTTGATATTTTAACCTGTTAAATATAATACAACACTCAAAGGTTATATAACTGTATAGGAGCAGGTTAATTCCACGTTAGACCCTTAACACAACTTACAGCACGAACAGGGATGTCCTCCATTATATCCATCTTTTGAGTCTCCTTTAAAACCTGCGATGCAAGTGAGAAAAGGATGAATATGTCACTTGGTCAAGTTTACCGATCTGTACAGACATGGACTGTTTCAATCAATTCCATAAGTTGTAAGATGACGATAAAAATGCAGATAACTATTAAGTCATCTGAAAGGATTCATCCAAGTATACATGTGTGTGTATTCCAGGATTGCGACATCTGCCTGTAGATTGTGTTACTAGGTGAAGCGTGTATTTACCCGGATGTAAATATGTACCTCCGTGACTTGGTTGGTGGGAAATCTTCGGATCCAAATTCGGATCATGGGTATAACAATGAAAATTCTTTATGTGAAAAAAGTGCTATATTGATATAATGGAAACAATGACCCGTTTGACAAAATAGTAAGAACATTTGATTTTTCGGATCCACGATTCGTGTGATGTAGGTGTCAGTCCGATGTACACCGGATGTGACATCGTTCATACCCCACCCCCTACCCCCGACCCCCGCCACCCCATCCCACACATATATATAGAATTGTTCTCCAACATGGTTCAATGGTGTCTTTAAGGAAAAGTGAATACATTTATAACGTGACTATATTATGAAGTCACAATGTTTCTGGACACAAATGCTGTGACCCGGCGCGGCATATGTAAATAAATATATATAATTGCCAGTATAAACGATAAGGTAAATAAATAAATAAATAGGCAGTAGAGACATTCATACATATACACACATTTAGTTATGACAGTTATGTGTAACTAAGTGTAACTATCATTTTACACAATTATTGACCGAATAAAGATGTCAACAGTGCAAAACGTACCTGGTGATCTTCCTGGCAACAACACGATAGCCACAGAAAAACCGACCAACATCTCTGACCAAATAAACAACAGTTCTTCTGAACCTTCATTCGTCCTGTGTAACTGAGACCACGATGTCAACAGGGAGAGCTGCACGGAGCTGTTCAGTGTTAGAGTCCCAACTGACTTATGCATCGATACGGGTCTGTGATGTGAACATAAATAGCTCGACTGCTTTCATTGGCTGTTATATTCTTCGGATCCATTTGTTCATGTGCATATGGGGTCACGGGCGGCCAGGCGACAAAGGCGCCGCGATTCGCTGTGCAGTGTTGCGTGTCTCGGGCACGCCATAAACCTATGATTGTGGGTTCGAATCCCGGTTCGCCCCGATTATGTTTCTTGGTTTGTCAGCACTATACCCGTGCTCGTGGGTTTCACCGAAGTGGTAAACGTCTGAGACCTGCATCACTTGGGGCTTTCCTCCCACATTAAGCTGACACGCCGGGACATAACTGGAATACTGTTAAACGCGGCGTAATACCCATCTCACTCACTCACTCACTCACTCACTCACTCACTCACTCATGTGCATTATATATGAACCTCTATGAAGGTGCCTTTTATTAATAGGAGCGAAATTGAAATGCGGATACATATATTATGTACCTTCATATTAACTGCTGGGAACATTAAATCACCTGTTGTGTTGACAGGCAGGATCAATGGCAGTGATAGAAATTAGGATCAATAACCGTATGTAAATTCCATCACCTTAATTGTCGGATCGCAGTGTCATGAAGTGAAATGAAGTGTTATGAGGTGTAATCCGACAACAAAGTTATGCTATTTTCAGTTCATTTCTGAAGTGATTGGATGTTTTTCATTTTCCACTTTCAGATAGGTAAACATATAATTTCATTACGATTCGTGTAAGTAAACATATCAGCTTACATTATTTTTCTACATATTTCTTATAAGCCGAACATGTCCGCGTTATGAGAGACAACGTGTTTAATTCCCCCAATTTCTGTTTTATTAAAGATTACTTCATTTTTTTTACGATAATAGTAAAAAGAACACTTACAATTTATTACATGTCCTGGTTATGTTTGCTGACGATATTCATTGACTGAATGATTCTTCGGATCCATTAGTCAGTGTTAATGCCTTTGAATGTGATTTCCAATTTAGAGCTGTGTGATGTATCTTATTTTACATTATCTATCATGTATATTTAACATACAGTAAACTACGGTTATAACGAACTCAAAGGGACTACTAATTTTAGTTCGTTATAACCGTAGTTCGTTATAAGCATATATACAGCATAACTACAGCAAATAGTCGGGACCAAAAAGTAAGTTCGTTATATCCGTCAATTCGTTATAAGCGTGTTCGTTATAACCGTAGTTTACTGTACATGCAGTTACTATTTTGGAGACAGAGATGAATATTGGGGAATGATACTTATGATAAGGTCATCTTCTATCACCGATTGTACTTTTGGTGTGCATATAAATTACTTCACTGTCTTTGAAGGTGTATTCACACTAGTTTCTATTTCGCGGATATTATTAAATCAATATCAAATATTCAGTTGATGTTTCTGTAACATAATTAATAAAAAACGTATATATAAACACAATCATATATTTTTTTCTTTCTCATGTATATAAATGCAAGATCACCTCCGTGGTCGAGAGGATAGAGCATCTTCCCAGAGAGCGGAGGTCAGGCCCAAATGACTAACAGGGGAGATCGTTGTAGGCTCGGGGTATATCAGCCGCTGGTTTGCTTGGCCCACACGCGATTACAAACATCTGTCCAGATACAGTTAATTCACTGTCAACGGATCGGTCGCATTTACCGTCGGATTGTGATGTGTGAAAACTCGGATCTTGAATCTTTGGATCTACCATAGTAAGCCATACCTCCTCATTGTCAACAGCATTGGAGTGTTTGACTAGCCAAATGATTAAAGCATTAGCTCTGTAGACGAATTTCCTTTCTTTTTCCGATGCCAAGCTCTAAAGGAATACAGTAAGCTATATATTTCACAATAATATTTAATTTGGCCTGATATGATAATGTTTTCATCACCTCTTCTATTCACTAAGCTTTAAAGAAATTAAAAACATATCCAAATTCATAACTATTGTATCCACAAAACTCAGCCATCTTGATTTCCATCTTAATCACACTTGTGCATTATTTGGTTTATGTAACTTGTGCCACAATTGGTGGTTTTATGGAGAAATAAAAGTTGGGCTCGATTCCCGACCCATGAACACTACGTGGAGCCTATTCTTTGTGTTCCGTACAGTGACGTGGCTGGAATATTCCAAATGGGTGCAAAAGTTTCAGCAATTTGTAAGTTCATCCCAATCCCGTCTGTCATTCCTGTTATATTAAAACTAGCAATAGATATTGTTATAGCAGTTGCCGTGTCACAACATACCCAAATCATCCTTCAACATTGATTAGCACGCTGTGTTGAGTTGAAGCAGCTGAATCTGTTGACAATTTGATATAATCAATCTCATTAAGTACTTCCATGAGTCAATAACAAGAAGATTTCCATGACTTTGTGGGCGCAGTTAAGATGTAGACATACATGTACATCCTTTTACGGAGGAGGAACAATGCTTACACAGTCGTCATGATTTTACTAACCTCTTTTTTATGATCATTGTCGTAACATGTACAATTCTCTCACATTTTCGGCACATCACAACCTATATCCAGACGTGTTTTCCATCATGGATAAAATGCACTTTGTCTCTTACTCATTTTAAGAAAGTTCGGATCTTCAATTCATTGCACTGATACTCCAGCAGTTCTAAAACACAAGGCGCGGCAATTTGAAAGTCTATCTCAATTATGCACCACTTTGGTATATAGTTACAACTGACCAACAATACTGTTATAGTATCAATAACAAGACGATTTCCATGTCACTGTGGGCACCGATTAGCTGTACACAGACACACACGAGATCCAAATCCATTGATGGAGGAGCTGTAGGCAGGCACACAAAAGATCACACATCCTTTGATGGAGGAGCAACAACGTCCACAAAGCCGCCATTGTAGTTACATGTTTATCTAACACAAACCTCCCACTATTTCTGGCACATGGCACATTTCTTCACAATAGATATCCAAATTTGACTCCCATCAAAACAGTGTATAAATCCATATATAGTCTTTCTCGCTATGACAAGGGTGAATATTACGGAAATAAGTGTCTCGAAAAGACAAGTGTTTGTCTCCTGCTCACAGAGAATGAAAGTTAAAGTATTGAAGCAGTGACGGATAAAATAGCATGTTTCTAACAACATCCCCTTAAAATAATGAAATTGAACACACATCCCTCTTCCAACGAGATGTTCGACCCCTTACTGAAACTGCGTCTCTTCCTGTATGTGCAGTATATATCTTTGCTATAGCTTCATGTCATAGCTTTTACTTTGAGTCAAATCATTAATCAAATCCATGTGATTTACTCCAGCTTTTTCAACAGTCGTACACTGGCCTCCATGTCAACATCACACACATATACAGAGTCCTCCAGGACATCCATGAGAACCCTGACCGTGGCCTGTGTCCCGGCTGTCTGCCTCCAGGTGTAAAGCATGTGGAACACCTGCATGTGGTGCGAGGAGTGAGACATCTTACATCTGTCTATGAACACCTTGGGTAGGCCCAGCCGGATGCCCACTGCTTCATATCCCTTGCCAATATGCTCGGCTACACGTTCTGTAAGCTGCTCTGAGAGACAGGA